CCAAAAAGCGCAAACATATTAAAGCAATCTCGTACCAGCTGAAAAGTTGGGGACATAAGATACCTAAGTCAGTTACAAGAGAGAAGAAAATCAGAGATTGCAGCCCTATCAGGGTCTTGGAATGCTTGGAATTAAAATAGCAAAATAAATTAAAGAAATTAGTGAACAAGTAGAACATAAGGAGGTGCTAAGAAACCTCATACTAGTCAAACCTATCTTGTAGCTTTAGAGTATTTTAAGACCTGAAGATCATTTTCCCTGGGTTCTTATATCACAGGCAGTTCAAGTACTCCCAGTTACCTAATATTGAGGTAATACTTGTCTTTTACTAAAATACAACGTTCTGAAGTGATTGGAAGACATCAACCAGAAGAAGAAAAGCCACCTCTTTTCTATCTCATGTGTGCCAGTGGATCATCTTCCTTGCAGTTGAATGTTTCTGCCTAATTTCTCTTCCAAATTTATCTGGTTCTTGTGGAAACTCTGGTGTTTATTCTAACTATGGCCTCAGGTCTTTGGACTGCTCCACTGTATAATAGTGCTACTACCTACCTACTTTCATCTTTGCAAAATGCCTTAAATAGTAAAGAAACATTGCCCCCCAAGATTTATTATTCCTGCTCTTATAAATTCAAGAAAACAACAATATTCATGTTCTGATCATAACATAAATGTGGTAGTAACAATTTAATCTTTCAATATTTACTCTGGATATAAAAAAAATATAGTCCTGATTCTCATTTACATTATTATTATTAAGCAAAGTGAATATAGGGTATATGTAAACCAAACCCACATTTTACCACTAACTGGTAATTACATGGTACTGAGTATTTCTCATGTAATAATTATGTAATCATCATGTTATTTCTTGTGTATAAATTTCATTAAGTTGTTTCTTGACACTGCATCAATCTTTATAATAAGCATGTGTAAGAGCTTTAGTTTTTAAAAAAGTCCTTTTCCTTTTTTTTTTTTCATAGTAAACATTCCCTATTACTCATAACAACACATAATGACTACCTTGGAGCCACTATGGTCTGTAGAGAGCAAGATATATTTTTTAAATTCTCTAAAAGAAATATTTAATAAGAAGATGTGAACATCAAATTATTTGGTTATGATACTTGCTTAAGCACCCCCAATTTTTTTGTTCTGTTACTAATCATATTGAAATATCTTAAATTTGCAAACTATAGATAGAAAAAAAAGTCATAAAACCAGTCTTCCTTTTCGGATTTTTTTCAATTCAATTCCGTTCCAATCGGATAGAATATAGACAGTCTAGTTACTCATATTGTATTTGGGATCTTTACACCTTAGTTTCCAGAACCTGGAGATAAATAGCCACAGGTGAAAATAAATTCTTATAGTTTTGTTATTTTCTTTGGTTTAGATAATTATCTAGAATCATAGACTCGTTGAGATTGGAAAAGACCTTTAAAATCATCAGGTCCAACTGTTAACCTAGCACTGACCAGTCCACCACTAAACCATGTCCCTAAGCACCTTATCTGCCCATCAAAAGATGGTACCTCCAGGGATGGGGACTCGACCACTTCCCTGGGCAGTCCATTCCAATGGTTGACAACCCTTTTGGTGAAGAGATTTTTCCTAATATCCAATCTAAACCTCTCCTGATGCAATTTGATGCTGATTCCTCTCATCCTGTCGCTTGTTACTTGGGAGAAGAGACCAACCCCCACCTGGCTACAACCTCCTGTCAGGCAGTTGTAGAGGGTGGTAAGGTCTCCCCTCAGCCTCCTCTTCTTCAGACTAAATAACCCCAGTTTCCTCAGCCGCTCCTCACAGTACTTGTGCTCCAGACCCCTCGCCAGCTTTGTTGCTCTTCTCTGGACGCGCTCCAGCACCTCAATGTCTTTCTTGTAGTGAGGGGCCCAAAACTGAACACAGTATTCGAGGTGCAGCCTCACCAGTACCAAGTACAGGGGGACAATCACTTCCCTGGTCCTGCTGGCCACACTGTTTCTGGTACTGTACCTTTAAAAATATCTTAAGAATATGGCCTATGGCTTTGATAATTTTTTTTTCTGCAGCGCATTTCCTGATTCAAAATAATACTCAGATGCATTTTAGTTATTTCCAAATCGCACTTAAACATTAATTATTATCTAAGATCCTCTTAGGATCAGCACCAAAAACATATTATTGAATGGAATTTGAAAATGATACTTTGTGAATGATCTGATCAGAAGCAAATTCCTATTACCATGTGAAGCTGATGTCCTCCCCTTTCTAGCAGGAAAGATGGATATCTGTATCTTTCAATAGAAGGTTTTGAAGCATCTAAGATCTGTAACTTTTCTCCAGAATATTATCACTTGACACATTTTTGTTCTATCAATTATGAAAAAAACCCCAACACTAAAAAAATGGATTTATGAGTGCTCTTCCCCCAAGTTTACCTGCGCTCTCATGACATTCTTTTGTAGAAAACTGTCCCCTTGAGGCTAACTTTTAACATGTAACATTTCTGTTAGTGATATTTTTATTAAATACCACATTTTGAAACATTTCTATCTCAGACAAGAAGAATAAATTAACGTCAAAAAGTGTATTTTGTCTATCTCCCCCATGTTTCCAAACACATTCTACAATGGAGGAATGCTACACAGCTTTTTGAAGAAAAAGCAGGTAGAATTTATTAGTGTGGACCTAAGAAAAGTATATTATTATTTGGCCTCTTCCCCGGTATGACTGATCTTTATGGCTAAAAAAAGTAAGAGGAGAAAGAGGAATGTCTGAATTGATGGGTGCAGGTGGGTTGAGCTGATGGGTAGGCGCTTGCCATAGGAATTGCCACCTAAGCGGTTGATGTTGATCAGAGTTTTAACTAACTAAAACAGATGGCAAGTATCAGACAATTTTAGTTATATGTCTGGTTGCTCTGTACCCCTAATTCCCAGTCAGTCAGTGAGCTAACTAGCCTGTAGAACACAATTTACAAGGGTTATTTCTAAAACAACAGGCATTGCGGACAAGTGACAATTATCATTCATACCTAAGTGGCCCTGGGATAGATGCAGGCCGGATTAGTTAGCGGCTGCCTGGCCCTCCTCAGCACTGCCGGGAGGAGGGTCTGCCCCACAGGCACCCGTTGCCGAAAGCACGCGGGGACTCAGGTAGGGGAGACGAGGGATGGATGCAGTTGTTACTCAGCAACACATCTGAAGGGGACGCGTATAGACGGCTTTGTCTATTGTGCTGCCTTTCCAAACTGAGTCGATAATGCCAGTGTCGGTTTCAAGCGAAGCGTGTGCCAGATTACAGATAGCTAGCAATGGCATTTGAGAGCCGTTAATTGTGAAACTTGAGAAGAAAATGTGCACATTCTTTTTCAGAGTGCTATTCGAATGATGGCCTTTTTATCCCAGAACACTGTGGGTTTCACTTTTATTCTCTTCCCACATAAAATGCATGAAGTGCACTGAGTCTCTTTCACTTGGCAGCTTATATATTGCATTCTTTGCAGGGACTGCTTTGGCTTGTTAAAATGTACCCCATGTATTAAAATGAAATTGTCACTGCTGTGTGGTGCAACATAACATGGTTTGACACTAAGCGCCTGCAGCTACAGAAAACAGACTTTTATTGCATTTATTCTTTCAGAGACAAGAGTCTCTAAAGGCTCAGCGCCGACATTCGCTTAGTTAAATCTGAATGAAGCCAAAGTGAACAATCTAAGTCGCTGTCTTTGTGCTTGTAGGAATGGCCCAGCCCACATGATATGCAGTGATACAACCTGGAAGGAACAATTTTTAATGATTCCACCTGAAACAAACTGATGAAAGACTTTGACTTGCACAGAGAATTAATCAGACAATTGGGATTTTTTTTTTAATTATTTTTTTCTTTTTTTTCTTTTTTTTGTGATGGTGGGGTAGTCCTTTAAACTCTGGCAAACTTGTACCCCAGGAGACAAACTGCTGCTCTAAATTCTGTGTGAGCCACTAAATAAATTAATTTTAAAACTAAACTGGAGAGAAGTAAGCATTATTTACGTCAGTGGAGTTACTTTGTGGAGAGTACCTGGAGGTAAGCACTGGTGTATTGCAGGGCCATTGAACATGGGTTTTAAGCACAATTTTTCTAAGAAAAACAAAAGCAGTATGATTTTTCTTTTTGCTTGCTTATTAGCTTTAAAGTTTCTGTACCCACTCTGTAGCAAAGTCAACTTTCTCTGGACTTAGCGTGCAGTCAGTTTACAAGACCTGAAAGAACAGTGAATTCCCAGATGTGGTATAACCATGGTTTGGGATTTGATTAGTGGCTTTGTATTCTTTACAGTTCCTTCAATAATATATGTACCAGTTTACTGTTAATGCCTTAATGTCTCAATGCTTAAAGTTATCTGGAGGTCGTATGAGATGAACAGTAAGGCATTTCACCTGCCAGTATCACATGTAAAGTACTGTCTTCACACAAAATTTGGCTTTATGGTGGAATAGGCATGTATGCATTGTCTTTGGTTTTGCTATACAATCTGTCTTTGCAGGTTATTTTTTTAATGTTGCAATCCTTAAAAATCGTTGCTTATTCTTCTGGGTTCTTACCCAAATCCTCTATTTTATTATTTTTTTCATGCCATTTGAAGTTATTTTGGGTGCACAGTGAATCTGGAAACCCGTCCTTTGCCTTTCCAAGCAGCACGTGAGAGCATAAAGAATGTCCTTGTTCAGGGTGATCCCCGGAGCCAAAAGGGGACTGTTCATTGACACTGCTGCGGCTCACACACAGCCGGGAGCGCAGCTGCAGGCTTTGAGGGTGGCAGGTCCTCCTTGCAAGCCACACCGTACTATAATGAGCTCAACCAGTTTCTCCGCAGAAATCAGCAAGAACAGCTTTGAAGATTTCTCTCGGCATCTGCGCTTGTCCCTTTTTTCTCCTTTTGCTTTTTGTTTTTGCTGACTGAGCACTTCCATAACAGTCTAGTAACACATAGTCCCTCTTCCCCCATCCCACCCTCTTCTCTTTTCCAGAATGGAGTCTACAGAAAAATGTGAAGTAGTAATTCAGCATTTTAATGGCAAATATCTGAAAACCCCACCCGGTCTACCAGGTAAGTCTAGACATAATTACGAAATTTAAAATTCACTGAAGAGTTTAGAATACAGAAATGCTGGAATTTATGTTGAGAGTGGTTTGTATTACTGGCCCTGCTAAGAGGGCGTACAGCTTTCCTGGTTGAAGCCTATCATTTATGACCCATAATAACTTCTTCCTTGCCCAAGTTAGTATTTTTCAAGCATTTATGTTTGGCAGTAGTGAATTGTAAGTACATGTAAAAATCGTGTTGTCTAACTGCTTTTTTTCCTTTTTAATGCATATACTGTGTGTGATTTTTTTCCAATTAAAGCAAAGGCCACATAAGTAAATGCTGGTGCTTTTCTAACAACCAAGGAATATTAACTAGATCAGCAACTGCATTATAGGTTAAAAAATAGACAGGATTTCAGGTTGGAATAGCTTTGTATTCTTCACAGTTACTAGATAGTGTTACTAGTTAGTGCTACTAGTATTAACAGCAGGAGCTGTTAATACTGAGGATATTTCCACTATGAAGTGATTTTATACCATTTGTACTTGCCATAACTTAATGTAACCCTGCCATTTTCTGATGATACCCATAGAATACATTCAGTGGTGTGTCCATGCCACATCGAAAGCCCGGTTCCAGCCAGTGTCTTGCTTTTGAAATATTTAGCTGTCATCTATGTGGTCATCAGCTGTGCAACGTTTAGCAGTCAGTTGCCTGATTCTTAGTGCTTCACAAGACCTCCCCAAGGCCACACATCCGCAAAAGTTTCTCCCTCACTTTGTCTAAAGAGCTACCTTCAATGAGCAGGAAATCCTTGCAAGAATTGTGTCCTAAGTTATTATCTTTTTTTTTTTTTAATCTTCTATTAAACTATTTCCTTTTTTGGTTACTTTCATTAAATTCCTCCTTATTCATTGCCTGGTTCTTTATGCAGAAGATGCACTAAATACTCTAATTAAAAGAGAGCCATCTGCACTGCTACTGTGTACAGTAATTGAATGCTGCAATGTACATATAAATTTTAGTCAGATCACCTTCATGAAAGAGTATAAAACTTAGTACAAGCTGGAAGACTCCATTTTATGCCTTTCTTTTTCAAAAGTAGTTACTGACAATTTTTCTCAACACCAACTAATGAAGTACAACAGGCTCGGGCTGCATAGAACAATGGGCAAAGCAACATAGGCAGAGACCTTAAACCTTTGGCATGCCTTTCTGTATGCATACATTGAGTCCCAGTGGTAATCTCTTTAATATAATAGCAACACCCAATATTGAATAGCAAGGAATCAGTAAGTGCAGCTTCATCATTATAACCCTGCGTGTTCCATGGCCACATTCCCGGTTGTCTCAGAGAGGACACATCATTTGAGCAGAGGAAAAACCCAGAATATTCTTACAGTGCCTGCCTGAGACAAAAAAGCTACGTGATAAAGAATGAAAGCTAGAAGTTGAAAATAACTTTTATTTATTTATTTATTTATTTTTAGATTAGTCAGGAATATAGTGGGTATTCAACATGAACAGTGTGGGTCATCAAAATAGGAATCTTAATAAGATAGCATGTTTACTTACTTCTGTTCCAAGAGATACACTGAAATGAGTTTTTAACGGTTATAACTTTTGCTGCTTTCTCAATTGAAGGACATGAATCAGCTCTTAGTTTCCTGAAGAAGTTGTCCATGTGGAAAAATTGTCTACTATGTTTCTCTCATGATTGTTGTGATCAGATGGCATTTAGTTGCAAGGATGAACTGGGAAGTGACTGTTTACAGAGTTTTCATTTACCTGAGTACCGTTCAGATGCAGATAAAGCATAATGCAGCTTGGGGCAAAGCCACTGAACCAGTAACTGAACTCACTCAACTATGCGCTAGATATCTGTAAGATCCCATTTTGTCCTCCATTTTTGGAGGACAGATTTTGTAGCTCCAAACACAGATAATTAGAAATTATTGTAGGGTATTTGATCCACACAAAAGAGAATATTTGGAATATTTGTGCCTCATTATTAGAGTAGGGCACTCTTCAAATCCATATTTAAAAGATTTTTCATATTCATTCCTCTTCTTCATAAGAAGCCAGAAGACAAACATGATCACTTGAGCAGTTGGATCGATTCAAGTGATACTGGCCACTCATACTCATTTACCTTCAATCTGGTGCAAAAAACATTCAGTCCTAGTTTCTTCTTCTTGACGTAGTTCCCTGTTCTACTCAGTTTATACATCTGTGCTATGAACCTGTATTTAAGCCTCTCAGCAAAGATAGAAGCATCTTGCTTTATCCTCCTCCTGGCAGTTGCTTATCTTCCTGCATGGAGAAGGAAGGAGAATCAAGTCTCCTAGTGTACTTGGAAAATCACAATCAGAGTCTGAAAATTATCCCCCCAGCATCTCAGTAATTGGCATGGAAAGAAAATCATCTCTAGTTATTGCTGTGACCTCTTTATGGATTTCAGTTAAAAAATGAGGAACCGGAGAACATTAGCGGAAGTATGCAACACTATCTGTTATTAACCTCTGCTACTCAAAGACATGATCTTACTGTGAGAGAAAAATCAATCAATCCTTTTAGGGTTAAATTAAATTGATTTAGGATTTTCAGCTGGATTTCCTTCAGGCGTAGCAGTGAGCTGGGAGGGGTTTACATTTTTTGTCCAAATCTCCTCTCACCCCAGCTCTGATATTCTAGTTCAGGCTTGCCGGCAAATAGAAGGTTGCATGAGGTCCATCAAGAAAGAAATCATCCTGGCTGCAGGCCATTTTGTCCTACTTTGGTTCCTGTGGCAGTGGGATTACGGACCAGACAAACCATTCTGGTAGCCAGCTTTAATCCATGCTGTCTTCCCCAAGTGTGTTCTCTGAGCTGTGATCCTGGTGACACAGTGGGATGTATGTGTGCGGGAATACCATGTCTATAGGGTAAAATGTTAATGTATGGTGGGGGCAGTTGTGCCTGGTCACCAAGTCACAATGGAAGAAGGACTGGTGTAGGTAGTTTTCATGTGATACTGAACAGTCCATCAGAAAGACTGGGCACCACAGCTCTGTCTTTCACAATGAATAAACTATGGACCATGTTTGAGGTATCTCAAACATTAATTTTGAATACAGAGCTCTTTCCCAACTAGTGTTTCCTTGGCAAATGAGATGAAAATTTAAATGGATGTAATTTTTTGTTGGAAATAAAAGTTACAGGAGTATCACTGTTGTGTACCTGGATGTTTGATCCCAGCCAGGAGTCACACATCTAAGCTGACCCAGGCCAACAGTATGGCAGGAAACGGTAAAGCAGTATTGGGTCTAAATGGAAAGGAGGGTGCACAGGGCACTCTGGAGACTCTGTATTCTGTATTTTGCCTGTTCCCAAGGCAAAAATACATCATTCCATGTTTGACTTTCTAACTTCAAGTACCGTCTGTTGTCTCTCAAAAATTGTAGAGCTGAGCACTTGTAACTCCAGACCACTCTGCTTCAGCCCAGTGACAATGTAAAGGTTATCTTCTGGCACTTGAAACATTTTGATGGTCAGATGTGTAATGCCTAGGTAAATTCAGCAGTATTGTGTCCATGTTAGTGATTCGTTCTCATTAAGGGTGCTTCTCTGTCCAACTCCTTGGCTTCGTTCCATTCCAAAGGGAATTGCTCCACTGTCCTGCTTGCACAACTAATAAGCATTTCATCATGTTCAGTCTTAGATATATGGTACAAAATAATTGGTCGTCCTATAAATAATTAGTTAATATCTTTGCATTTCTTCCAGACTGAGAAAGAACAGTTGTCTCTAGAAATCTGCAAACTCTCAGTGCTCGACAGATTCCATGTGAACTTTGTAAATATTCTGAGTAGCTTTGAGTGATTATCTTTTTAGTGGTTTTTTTTGTGTTTGTTTTTGTTTTCCCTTTATCAGCACTGCTTTTCTGAGATAAACAGACCAAGGCCTACTGGGTATATTTTCTTCCTATAGAGAGTGCACCCCACGTGAAACTAATTGTATAGGCCCCGTATTGGCACTCTGAAAGAGAAGTCAGCAAATGAATGCATCAGACTTTAGCACTGTACGTCTCCATCAAGATGTGAAGAGCACTATTAATGATGAAGGTAGCTCACCCTCAGTCTTTCAGTGCTGCATCTCTTTTTGTTGGTGAATAGAAGACTTTTTAGAAAATCCTGCTAATCTATCACATTTTGCAATCACTGAATTCAAGTAAAAATTCCTAGCTTTTCTGTCAGTAACAAATTGATTTCTCTTTGGATGGGCAAGCTTTAGGGTACAAGAGGTTTTGTTCAGCTCCCAGTATCCTTGGATGTCCTTAAAAAACTTGATTTTCTCTTCTTGAATAAATGCGAAGACTTAACGAGTTCTTACTTTTCTCTCTAGAATTTCACAGGAACATGCCTCAATTGCAGTAATTATCCTCTGCTGTTATATCCATTATGCTCCCTCACAGCATTTTCTAGTCATTATAGTACTTCCTAAATTTCGTTTGCTTTGTAAATACTTTTGGTTGTCAGAGGACATTGGGCCAATTCCTCTGTCGGAAAATTTCAAGACAGCAAGACACATGAATGCTACAGTGCACGGCCAAGGATCTTCCTCTTTCATAATAGGTCTGGGTGGCTTTTATTGCTGATTTTAATGCCAGGTTACAAATATCTGACAAAAAGGAAAAAAGAGGGAAGTACTGTTCTTGTGTAGGTTAAAAACCCACAAGTAACAAGCAACTGTGGCATTGTGGGACTGACTTTTAGCGGAGCAGAAACTCTTAAATAGAAATTATCTGCGACAATCCAGATGTATTTGCAAATACGTCATATCTTGCTTTAATCATTATTGGCCATGCATTGTTCTCTTGAAAAGGGCCCAAGCACTGCATATTTACAGACTTATTTCACCATAATGAATGGATATTTTCTGCCTCTCTCCTTAGTTTAAATATTTCTCTTAGGTCATCTCTTAGATTCTTCAGTCACGGAGAATAAATTCAAATACTTAATCTTTGCTTCAGAGAAGCAGAC